CCCCCCCCCCATAGGCCTTTTTTTATTTTATAAAATAGTGTTCTTAATGTAAGGAAATTATAAGGAAAATTTTCATTCCATAATAATTTTTTGCAGCTGATCCCCCTCCATACAAAAGTTATGTATACGCCACTGGTATGATGGTATGTAAAAATGACAGTGTCAACGTATTATAATAAAATTAAATAACGTACCTAAATATTTGAATAGGTAATTTAAACGCTGTGGTGAGCACCGGAAGACTCTTATAAGTAATTTTTTCTTACATTAATAATTATTAATAAATGTCAAATAACTACAATAATATACCTATCATCTAGTTTCTAGTACCTATCTATTAAATATACTTTAAGATTACTTACAGTCTTGAAAATGTAATATATTTAACGAAAAATAGTTTTTTATTGAACATTGGCTTTTAATTTTTACTAGTTTGGCTTCTTTATGAGCTTTGCGTTTTCTATTTTCACAGTCACTTCGTTGACTTGACATTTTTTAGCAAAAATTTATGAAATGCCCAATATTGTGAAGAATACAATAAATGATAAATTTTAACAATATTTCGTATTATAATTTAACAGCACTATAATATTAAATATAAATATTACCTAATAGTTTACACTAAACGCCAAACAGTCACAAAATACTGACCAGACGGCAGACGAGTGATAAACTGAGTATATAAAAATATTAATAGTGAATCGTCAATCGATTAGATTATTGGCTATTGCAGAGGCGATAATATTTACGGTCTTTCATTTGAAAGCAACTTATTATAAACGTATGGGCAGTGCCGCAATAACCGGGTGTGTTGCGTGTGTTAAACACACGGGCCCAGGGCCCCAACCTATAATGGGGGGCCCAATGATAAAAATTGAAAAATATGTAGAAAGAAAGAAAATAAAACGATTTTGTTATAATAATAATATAATAATAATTAATAATGATTGGACAATAGATCGATTTTGTCTTGTACACAACGTTATCGTATATTAACGTTTCTTTTGCGACCCGTATAACATAAATTAAAAATAGTTTGGTTGCAATTGATTAAAGCGCGTCATGCGAAGGAACGCGTATTTTGACCGGCCTATATAGCCATATAGTATGAGTGTGTGACGCATCTCAATTAGGTATTGTTATTTATTTTTGTTATGTGCCACGCGGGAAAACCGCGATCGGGCTCGCTTTTATATTGCACGACGACGACGATGCTCGTTGAAAATGCGGGATCTTCGACAGTCTATGTTTTATATTCGGTCAATTGACAATAAGCTATCCATTTATTTAATTTTATTTACGTCTACAATAAATCATGCCGCCAAAAGCTTTAAGTGGAGCAGCTAAAAGAAAAAAAAAACACCAATTACAGTGTAATATTTTAAAAACCAATCAGAAGATAAATAATTTTTTTGAAAGCAGTCAACATAACAATGGTAAGTACAAAATTATTTCATGAATAAATATTGTTGACTAACAAGATGTTAAAATGTTAAATTATTTAATAGATATATATATATATTATAGATGATTGAAATTTTGTTATTTAATCTAGGTATTTATTAACAACTTGACTGCAATATTCATAATTCATACCTATATCATGGTCCGTGAGACTCTTTTTTTGACCTACTTAATTTAAATAAAAGGGTTAAAATTGAAATTAGATGGAAAAAAACTCAAAAACTTCAAATGTATTTATATTACTCGATATACTATTATTGTAGGTACCTAAAATTAATTTTGGTTTAATAGTTGTAGAATGTGATGTGGAACTTGAAAGTGTTGGACAAATATCTAAAAATGATTTGAAGAATATTTTAGACTCAAAAGAAGATGGACAAGACACAACTAATACGTACACTGAAAATAATAACTCTTCTGATGTTAGCACTTCTACAAGTATACACTAGCTCAAATTTATACATATGTTAATAATATTTCAGTATTGTAAAATATTTTTTAATACCTATGTTTGTGATTTTAAGAATCTATTCAAATTCTATAATTACATTACACTTAATATAATTAAATTAATTTTGTTTTTATAGTTGTGGAATATGATGTGGGACTTGAAAGTGTTGGACAAATATCAGAAAATGAATTTAAAAGTATTTTAAACTCAAAAGAAGATGGACAAGACACAAATAATACATACACTGAAAATAATAACTCTTCTGATATTAGCACTTCTACAGGTATACACTAGCTCAAATACGTACATATGTTAATAATATTTTAATGTTGTTAAATTTTTTTTAATACCTAATATTTTTGATTTAAAAATTTCTATTTTATTCTATACTATTAATTATTATTATGTATATACTTTAATAATTTGATTTTGATTTTTTTCTATTATTACAAATGTATTACTTTTATATTATGCTATATTATAATAAATATTTTAAAACTTATAGATTTGAATAGTATGCTGAATCTCCAAGATGATTTCCCAACAGACATAGCCAAATTTCCATGGACTATTACTGATGCAAATTTAATAAGAAGTTTGATTTTATATGGACCCTGTAAGCCAGATATTAACTTTCCAGTAAATAATAATGGTAAACGTTTTTCATCTAGTTATTATTTTCTAACAACTAAATCTGGTACAAAAATTCCAAGAACCTGGCTATGTTATTCTTATAACTTAGACTGTGTGTATTGTGAATCATGTTGGCTGTTTGCTGATAGATCTTATGGCAAATTTAAGTGGGATTGGATTTATGGTATTAATGATTGGAATCACTTGTCACAAAGTATTCAAAGACATGAATCATCTATTCAACATTTGGATGCTGCCAAAATTCGTTCCATTTGGGTTAAAAATGAAACCATTGACGCTAGTTTAGAAAAACAATATACTGATGAAGCAGTGAAATGGAGGAATGTATTGAAAAGGTTGATAAAAATTATACTTTCTATAACAGCAGGAAATTGTGCTTTAAGAGGGAATGAAGGAAGCCTAAAAATTAAATGTGCCACCGAAGGAAACTTTTTAAGAACAGTTCGATTACTCGCAGAGTTTGATCCTATTCTAAATGATATTTTAAATGATGAAAATCAAAAAATTAAGTATTTAAGTTGGTCTATTCAGAACGAGTTGTTAGACATTTTGTCTACAGAGTTACGTCATTTAATTTGTAATAAAATAAGATCTAGTAGTTTCTTTTCTGTTATATTAGACTCAACTCAAGACATAACCAAACAAGACCAAGTTAGTCTTGTAATTCGTTATACTACATTAGATTTTGAAAAGAAACAAATACAAATCAAAGAGTCGTTTCTCGGTTTTTATTTACTATCCCATCATGGTGCAGCAAATTATGTAGAACTTTTAAAAAATACATTAATGAGATTGGATTTAAATATTATGAAATGTCGCGGTCAAGGATATGACGGAGCAGCAGTGATGAGTGGTTCAATAACAGGCGTTCAAAAACAAATTTGTGATATTGTACCTAACGCTATATTTGTTCATTGCTGTTCTCACAATATAAATTTGGTTTTATGTGATGCTGCTAAAAGTACTAGAAAAATACAATCATTTTTTGATACTGTGCAAGACATCTACAATTTTTTTAGCTCAAGTTCGCCAAGATGGGCTCAGCTAGCCTTTGGTGAAGAGTACGGGAATAAAATAAATAAAATAACTTTAAAAAAAGTGTGTCCTACTCGATGGGAAGCAAGACACAATGCTTTATTTTCATTAAAACACAGATTTGTTGATGTTTTGAAATCTCTTTCTAATATCCAGCTTTCAAGTTCCAAAAAAGATGAAATAAATATGGCTACAACTTTAAAAAAAAAAATGGAAAATGCTGAATTTATAATTATTCTATGTATATGGGAACCTATTTTAAAATCCTTACAAGTGGTATCAAAGAGTATGCAATCAGTTAATTTAAGCTTACAAAAAGCATCAACACAATTAGAAAGTGCTATTTTAATTATAGAAAAGTTGCGGGATCAATATGACCAAATAATAAAAGATTCAAGGGAATTATGTATGAAGTGGAATATACCCTTCAAGTTAAGTGAAACTCGTCAAAGATATGCAAAAAAGTATTTTGATGAAGTAGACAGTGATCGCCGGCTTACTACAACTGATGATAATTTTAGAGTTACTATATTTTACCCAGTTGTAGACACAACACTATTACAATTAAGAGTTAGATTTAAAGGAATGAAAACTGTGTGTAATGATTTTATTATATTAATGCCTGAAATATTAACATCAATGTCTGACGAATTGATTGTTAAGTCATCATATGACTTTATTAACAAATATAAAGAAGATATCAGTTCTGATTTCACTCGTCAACTTATTATAATTAAAGGCTATTTATCTTCCAAATTTCAAACCAACTATTTAAAAAATATGACAATTCACGATTTAGCTGATACTATTGTTAAGGAAGAGCTGACATCAATATTTCCTGATGTATTTATCGGTATTATAATTTTTTTGACTATACCAGTGACATCTGCTTCAGCTGAGAGATCCTTTTCAAAGCTTAAACTTATCAAAAATTACTTACGGAACTCCATCGGGCAAGAGAGACTTTCAAGTATAGCTTTGCTTAATATTGAAAGACAACAAACAAATGATATTAACATAGAAAATATAATTGACAATTTTGCCAACAAAAAGGCAAGAAAAATGAATTTTTTAAAGTGAGTGATGTTTTTTTTTCAATTTTTTAATTGACTGTTAATGTTAATGTTTACTGTGTTCAATTTATATGTTACCTACAATGTTGATAATTATTTATATTTAATATGAATTAAAAAAGGTTACAAATTATTACATTTATTTATTTGTAAATATATACCTGTATGTGTTTTACTTATGTTAACCTTATTTTTGTTTATATTTGTATGAGCAAAAATCCAAAGTATGTTTTCAAATTTGGAAAAATTAATTTTCAAGACAGAGGGGAGGGGGCATTAATTTTATTTGCACACGGGCCCAAATTGGTGTAGTTGCGGCACTGCGTATGGGTTTTTCCACGAGCCTTCTAGCGCAGGTTGTCTTATCTTAATATTATATATAAACGCAATGTTAATAAAATTAATACATATATATGTATTATGTATATCTATTAATAAATATTTTTAATTTATTTCACTATTACGAGTTACGACAAATAAAATCGCAAATTGTCATGATCTCCTCGAACATATTGTTATAATTAAATATTTATATACATATACCTTATTATATTATTATATACATGGCTACATAAATTTGAAATTATATTGTATATTATTATATGCCCCTTAAAAGATTCCGGTCGAGCCCCGGCTCGACCGGCTCGCCCCGTGCGCACGCCTATGATTATACTATATATATTGGGTCTTGTTTTCGACTATTTATAACATTATAGCAAAACTTGGTTTATTTTCCTAGGAAATTGCTTTCGACATCGACAAACAATGTATCATTATATTATTCTATTCAGTGGTATGAGGTACTAACCAGTGATGCCATGTTGGCCTTTTTAAGTCCAAATCTGACCTTTTTAAGGCTAAATCTGGCCTTTTTCATTTTAATCTGACTGAAAAAATACACAATCTTGCTCCTAGCTTTTTTCTAGCCATTAATTGTTTTTAACTAGCTTAATTCTGATTTAAGTTGTATATAATATATTTTAATTAATTTTTTGTGTATATAAGTATAATATTACACAACTACATTAATATCATGAGTTTTTCCCTTCGTTTTCGTTATCACTCCATATGATAAACCATATTTATGGTTGTTATCATAACAAATTATATTTATCTGTGGTGGTTGTTAACCATAGATCTTTTATATATTAGGTCTATGCTAAAACTCGTCGTAATTAAGTTGAACTATTTTTTTAAATAATCTAAATCTTCATACATTTATGTATTTCTTATTTCTATGTAATTATTATGGCATACCCATATCCATAAATTTAAAAATCAATAACACAAGGATATTTTCTTAGGAAAAACAAAGAATTAGATCAATGATTTCTGTAGAACAACCTGTAAGTACAAAGTTAGAAAAAGTTAATAGTTAAAAATTAACATTTTTTACTATCATTATTATACCATTTAATTTATAATAATAAATTAATATAATATTGAGATATATGAGATTTAATGTTTAAAGGGAGTGTGGGGGCATAGCCCCACTAGAAAGATAGTATAAATTTATATCCCAATCCCACCCCGAAACCAATTCCAAATTACGCCACTGGTGCGTGCACACACTAAAAACGCACTAGCTAGGACATAGCGTAATATAAAAATAATAATAATTTGTACTTATGAATGTTTCGATGAAATTATTACACCAACAAAAATTGACAATTCACGCCATAGACATATGTACTAAACGCCATACACTGAACAAATACGAATAACGCGAACAACAATTTAGGTAATCATACGCGAGATATCATTTCCATTTCAGACTTACAGTATTGCAATAAATAACGACTCGGTGATTCATAGAAGACCTATTAGCTATTAAATTATAATAATACGACGTATCCGCTTAGGATAATTTAAAAAATAGTTTACTAGTTGTTTACACTTGAACATTCAACATTCCATACAATTCATGCACACCTGTCAATATGATATAATGCTATTATCTTTATTTAGATAAATTTAGATTAATTAACAATTTTGTATATTACTTGTGAAATTATTCCTGTGAATAATATTTTTGCTATTAAACAACTAATGACAAAATTGAAATAACCACAAAAAATACATACAAAATGATATGTCACATAAAAATTGTAAAATAAAAAATTATTCGGGTTTCGGGTTAAAACCAATATTTTTTTCGGGTTTTGGTTAATTCGGATGTTTTTAAAAAAAAATCATTCGGGTTATATGGATTTTAGGTGTTTGGTTTTTTAAGGGTTTTTAGGGGTGTTACGAATTTGGGTTAATTCAGGTGCAAAGCCCTGAAAAGAACTAATACACAGTGGCTATAACATTAATAACACAAGATCATTGCAATGTACTCACATTATTGCACGACTATGTTCGATTTTTCGATTAATATACCTAATATACTTACTATAACGAATATCGTTAATTATAAATAGTACTGTTCATTGGTAAATTATTCGTATTTAATATACCTAGATGTTGATGTTAATTTAAATATGTGATTATGTTTGTGTAATTTTTGTTGTTGTTATCATTTTCGTGCGATGTGTAGCGGTGCGTTGCGTATCCGTAGCCATCGTCGGCGGTGGTGATAAGCCTCCGTGTGCGACCGGCCGGGTACGTAATCGCGCTGTTATCGTCGCGCGTAAATGCCCGTTATTTCCACGTTTTCAAAGGTTTTCGGTTATGTTTTTGTAAAAGTAAAAGTCATGTTCTCAGTGCCACAAAGTTTCATAAGTTATCGTGTTTTTTGGTTTAGTGTGGTGGCACTGAGACATTTATCTTCATTTTGTGGTGTCCGGCGGCCCTAGCCTTCGTGGAAAATGTCGCTGGCACCGTCTCTCTCTCTGTTCGTGTTCGTCGTGGTGTGCACACCAATTCTTTCTGCTGCTGTTTCGGGCGTTGGTCTACAGCCATCTTCTTTAAACCACGTTTTTCTGTGTTTTTGTTTTGTATCGTGTCGGCTGTTTGGTAAGTGTCGTTCAGCGCAATTTGTATTGCCTTTCATTAATTGTCCCATATTCTAGGGTGGTCACTTGCCAACAGCCATTGTGCAAAACGTGGTTTCATCGTGTTTGTTCTTCGTCAGCGCTGTAGACTTCGTTGGTGATTGTGAGTATTGGTCGACCATATTTGTGTTATTTATTTGGTTAAGGCCGACGGGCCTATCCGCTAAGGGCATTATCATTATTATTATTATATATGATTGTATATTTATTTATTGTTTCGTGTGGGCCACACCCTTGAATTATTTATTATTATTGTTGCGCCGTTGTAGGGCCACATATTTATTTAATAATTTAATTATTCAATTATACAGTCTTTATTATTCAATTTATGTTTAATTTATTTTATGGCGAACAAGTATGTTCTATATTATTTAGAACATTTGCCGCGCCAACACTAGATTTCTTTAGAAGTCTCGCACATGAGTTCGTAGTACATATATATATATAGTATATGACATGTCTTATTTTTTTTCTTTTACTCTCGGTTTACAATTTTTATGGAAGTAACGGGATTAAAACGGGTCTCTATTCTAAAAACGGGACAAAAAGCGTCCTGTTCAAAGTTTGTCGGGACAACGGGACAAAATGATAAAAAATGGGACAATCCCGTTTTAAACGGGACCTATGGTCACCTTAGTTTAACCTCAAGCATATTATTAAAAAACACATATAACACCTATTGAATCGATGGAAATTTACTATCGACAATTTGAGATAATGTATGTCCGATTAAAAATATATGTAATTAGCATCACGTACTTTTTGTAACCATGATGACTTTCAAAACACAATTTTCACTACACGTAATGTATAGTAATGTTGAAATCAAAGTCACCACAAAACTAAAAGCTCTATACACAATATACCCAGTACGTGTCAGTCGTGTTAGACAAATAATCCATATCTAAGAAATGATAGGGCAAAAATAGATATTTATTGAATTCAGTTATTGCATTTTATCTTCAACAATAGTTGATCGATAAACCATTATGACATAATAACATAATTATACATTGTATAATGTATGGTATTATATTCTTTTAAAATGTCTATTGATATAGATTATAGTTAATAAAATAAACGTTCTAAATTGGATATCGAAATACTATTTATTCAAAAAATAATAAAAAAAACAAATTTTTATCTAAAAACGCTATTTGTATGTAAAATAATATTTGTATGAAAAATATTTAAGAACATAAAATGTATAACATAGTTTTTTATACAAATATTGTTTGATGCAATTTTGTGTAAAATCAATATTACATTGGTTAGAATTTAAAATATAAAATAATATGTGAAAATCAAAAATGAATAAGTTTGGAGCTCTTGTGGTACGGCTTAACTTTTTCTGATTGTCTTTAAACTTTCAATAATTCAATTTTATAACTAACTGAACCAATCTAGGGGGTGTAACCTGAGGAATATATTAATTTTTTTATATTTCCATTTAAGTACCTCCCGTTTTTTGTTAACATATTACTTACCTATTACAAAATAAGCGACAATATAATATTGTTACCTATCTCTGATCTCAGTGTTTGGAATGATAATATTCATAGGTAATAAATTGTATGTTGTATCACGGCCCGTAATTCAAGACATTTCATGATAACCTGTCATACGGGGTCGTCAGCCGGTCCATTTAAGTCTAGGGTTAGGAAAATTCATACTCCTGCCCCTCCCCCAAATTACATCCCTATTGCACTCTTATAGTTATGCTCGACCGCAGCTAGTGAGATGTGAGTCAACTTAATTATTCCAAATAATAATGACACGTTAAGTTTTAAATAATGTTCACATAGGTACATAAAATGTATGCTATCCATAATATGTATTTACATAGTTTAATTACAATTATTGTTTTGGTTGGTCGCATTATATATTGCCACATTGCAGGCCACGTCGTTATAATGTATCGAACAAACGTTATGTATTATTCTGTTACTATATATAACAGTACATTAGTATAAGTTGCCCGAATATGTTTGCCATTAACCCACTGGTATTGCCGCGAAATCCCTCTTACAATATAAGTACAAATATATTTACATAAGTATTATAAACGATTGTCATGTTTAAATTATAAATATAGAACGGTAAACTCCCGTGCACCCACACAGCCTGGCTTTGAGTGCCGGCAGCAATCTGGCCACGGATGTAAAGTCTTGTAGTAGATTAGCACACTCGCACATTAGTATATACTGTTTGTCGCCGTTTGATTGCGATTTATGTAGTGTGATCCTTCTGAGGCCGGCCGATTTTGGTAGATAGTTGTAGATCATACGAGCGCCTGAAAAATGTTGATAAGAGTAAAGATATCTTATGAAAATAGGATAAAAAATTGTATGCTTTGACACTTTAAAGTATTGATCAACTATAATACTGTAATATGTTTTCATTTTGGTGGATGATTAATAAAAAAACCAAAAACTGTATACATGATAATATCTAATTTTTTCGCATCTCTCCCCACTAATAAAAATCCTCATCAATATTTATTTCATTGTAATTAACAAAAATTAATGATTGAAATTTTTAATATTATAGGGAAAAATCTTAGCGATCATAGTTACAAGTTTTGAAAACTCAAAAGTCGATTTTTCTTTTTTTGACCCGGGCCACGGTTATGTATTAATAAATATATAAATACCGGTCCAGTACAGCCAGTGTTTCTCGAACTTTTCACTGTCGTCGCCGTCGAATACTTTATATACAGATATTATATAGGCGGTGTGCATGCCCCTGGGCCTTTTCGACTGGCTCATTGGTGGGCAAACGATGTTAGCTACTTCGGTGAACAAGTCAAACGTATGGTCGGTGGTGTGCTTGATAACCCGTGGATCGAACTTTTTTAGCGTCGTATTGCGAACGTTTACGGCTACTTCTCGTGGATTGGACACCGAAGACTTATTCAAAACATAGTACGTGATGAACGGGAACACGGCTACATTACACAAAAAAAAAAAAAAAAACAAATTATTGACTACATATATATCGAAACTGAAAATTGTTAGTAATTGTTTTGCGTCATTATTAATGAACAACTTTAATATTTTGTTAGTGAATTGTATTATATTTTAAAAATCGAAAAGCTCAAAAATGTATGTTTTCAGTTAGTTTTATTTGTACACTTCAACTTAGAAAATTATGTACTCGATTTATTTCAATAAATCACGATTAAGTGATCAATTATTTAAATTAAGTGTTGACATAAATAAGGAGTAAATAAGGATTACAAACATCTGTGACTAAATCCGGACTAATGTTCAAAAACGTACGATTTTCTTATTTTAAAATATTTTTAGTTGATGATCGGTCATATTAATGCGATACCGTCTTTTTCTAAATTTGCCAACAACATGCCCTCTGAAGCCACTTTGGTCGATGCTATTTCTGTAAGCAGCGAACACGCAGCTGCAGTCTGTCTGGCCATCGGGTCCGATAAAGGAGATTCTAAAACAGGATCTATCGGTTCCAACGTGGTCATCATGTGAAACATTAGACAAGTTTTGGGGTCGTCTATTTCGACCATGTTTAAAGCATTATTGGTTTTGCTGGTTGAACTCGGAATCGTGGGAAGCTAGAAGAACACACAAGCGTATAAATCGTAAGCGAAGAAAACACGTCCCGTACAATAGATTACATACATTAACCCCGTCGGGTAGAAATCGGTCCAAATAAGCGATTGGTATGATAAAACAGTCTTTATCTAAATTTGCAATGCTCACCGAGTCAACTTTTCTGACGTGAAGTGCACCGTTTGCAATATTAGGAGCGTTTGATGTGGTATAAGAACCATGGCGACCTCTGCAATTCTGAAAATGGCGATTAGTAGTCATTGTATAATGATCGTGATTATTATTGCAGGATGTATCTAGTTATATGGATTTCTTATGATTAGGTACATAATTGAAAAAAACCCTGTATATTGTGATATACGGTATAATATAATGTGGTATATTTCGATAAAATTGCAAATAAATAAGAGGGCACGAAAACCGCTCTCCTGCCGACATAATTGTATAAATAAACGAGATACAATTGTAACGTTAACGTTCGTTTTTGTACATGGAGCTGACATTTTTATGAAACAGTATATAATAAGCATTTTTATTTTCAAAAATCGCAACAACTATTACAACCCTATTTGGAATGGAGAAAATATCAAATCGAAGTTATATTTTTACCCAAAAATCGAGTCGAATAAGACCACCGGGCAGGTAAAGGATGTGGAATCATAATGAGTGGAGGATCGGATCGAAAAAAATGGACAAATTGGAGGTGCAAAATGGAATGGTCTTGGAGAAGCCTATTGATTCAATAATAGTGAATAGTATTGCATCCATAATATTCTGTGAGTATACCTACGCGGCGAAATCGGTTCGAATAAGAACATGATAATAGGCGTTTTGCGAACCTTATCGAGCGGATTGTTGTTGACCGATCCCGGTGTATTCGCGCTGGTCCCGGTGCCGTTCGCGAACTGAGGCGTGTTTATCACCGTGTCCATCTTGCCCGTGGACTGTTTCCTCCGGATCCACCGTATCAGTGGCACGGCGGACGTGGGTTTCGGCGGTGCCAGCAGCGGCGGTCCGACAAAGTCCTCGAACTCCTGCGGGAAATTCGCGTGACCCAGGAGAATGTGGGTCCTAAACGGACAAGTATGATCCGAGTCGATCATCATCGAGCACCTGTATCGTCACAACATCAGCTTGGACGCGGGCGGTAGAGAAACGCCACGGTTCTATGTGCGCACTCGCGTACCGCAACAGTATTAAGTGCATAATAATTATAATAACTATTGCAGTTAAACGTGTACATAGATATAAGAGGGACGTTTTATTTTGATTTTTTCGTCGTTAAATACTGATAGGCAGGTGTTTTGTGCGGGTGAAATACACACGGTTTTTCGACAAGTATTTTTGCGTAATCATGTGTCGTCGTACATAGTTTTTTTTTTTTTTTTTTTTACAAGGGGTAGGATATATTTTACAATGTTTTTCTCAATAATATCATGTTCCTTTTTTTTATTAAGAAATAATCTCAAGTCCAGCGGAATCGATTTCAAATGAAAGAAAATTTCGATAAATATTAACATTTTTACAATGACTTAAACAGGATTATTAAAGAGAGGAGGGTATAAAATGTTTCCTTCGTATTTTTACTTAGTTTTATTTTCGGATCTAAAGACGAACACTACCCTATAAATTATAGTTTTATACTTCAATATACAATATACAAAATGCTAACGAAAATTGTTATTTAATATTTTTAACAATATCCTGATAGATTTGATATTACTTATTCATAAATGAAAATTCACACATTAGCCAACACGCATGGCTAAATATTCCAAAATGTCTAATGCTCATTTCATTATAACATATAAGATATCCACAAGCATAAAAAAACCCCTAATGTACGAAGAACACATGACCTCCTATACCGCCTGACTAATTTCATTGTATTATTTTCAGTAAAAATAATAAATATCAAATTATAGTAAAATAATTATATGTATATATATATATATATATATAATTAAAAAGTTCTAAATCTTAAGACTGTTTAAATATACATATGCCCCAGAACGCAAAATTTCTTAATCCGGTTCTGATCGTTTTATAGATTATTACACACTTAATAATATTGTGAATCCAGCCAATGCCGTGATAAATAATAATAATTTGCGCTACATTAGTTAAATCAGCAATTGCGTGTAATTATAAACATAGTTTATGTATAGTATTATTATATTCGTGTTTATTTTATACACTTCAATATAAATATACGCTGTTGAATGTTGCTAAACGGCCACGATACAAATGTGAATTAATAATAAATATTTTAGTTTTTAGAATGCCAGAATGTTTAAAAATACTGTATCGACTGTTATATCGTTGAACTGAAATGTTCCCTCGTTATTCATTTTTATACACAATATTTAAAACTTGGTTTGGTTAATTTGAAGCTAAACTGAAACTATTTTTATTTCAAAATTAGGTTATATTGTTATTAAAATGATCAAGATAGAACTAACTAACTTTTTAATATAGTTTTATAAAAGTAATCATTATATGATTCGACTCGACGTGAGTATTGAGATTTGAATTTAATGAAAAATAAAAATTTAAAAGAAGTTCAAAAAGTATTTCCAAATCTGTAAATTGTATTCATAAAACGAAAAATAATTTTTTTTTATCTCGTATGAGTATTACGTCTTTCTTATTATTGTTATTATTATTTAATTTCACGCTTAATTTGTCTTCGATATTCTCACAGGGCTGCTAAAACCGGTTCCAATAGCATTCATGTAAAATTATACATTCGACCGATCGAAGCGTTGAACACCCCGAACAGATGTGTTAATATTATAAAAAGCGATGAAGGGGGACAGATTATAATACGAGGGAGGGACTGCGACACCTAAATAATCCTTATCGATTACGGTCAACAGTTGCTAACCTGGATTCCCTGGTCCTCCGCACGGTTCCCAGCGCATTGGTATTGCCGCTGGGTGTCCTCCTGCCAAGGCCGCTGGAATAGCTTCTCTCCTTAGAGGACCCCTCGGCCTGGAAGTTTTTTCTGAACAGTATGTTCATTTTTATCCACACGCCGCTCCTCGCAGACGAATATTACAGGATATGTGATACTGTTATTACTATTGTATGACGTGTATTGTACAATCGACGCACACTTAATAGTGTTTTCCACTGCGGGGAAAAAAAACCCTGTTCGTCACGAATTCGTTTGTTTCGAGTAAAATAATATAAAAACGCGGTTGCATTTTTTCCCGTTCATTTTACCATCGGGTTGACCGTCAGCAGACAACTGCATGCGTTCGAAACGAGTGCGTGTGGCAAAATCAAGTATTATAGTGGTAATGGTAGGCGTAGTAATAGTTTAGTAGTAGGTAGTAGTAGAAATCGTAGCTGTCGTAAGATAGTATCTATTTTTAAACGTTGGCGCCCTATGTGAGAGAAGAACCCTTGCCAATTTACCCGTAACAATAATAATAATACGTGGTTACGAAATTGACGGTACACATTCGATTTCGGTAAAACTAATAGAAAAAATTTTTTTTTTTTTTTTAATAAATGTTAATATCATCACGTTTTTTGATGACGCGCGTGTTACAGAACCCGTCGGAATACAATGTATAAAAATAACCCGCGCATTGTAAAAATGTATACCACACCAAATACCAGCGATAATATTACTATTATTTTAGTGCACAATAATTTCGTATTGTGAACCTTATAATCTTTTTTAATCTTTTTCGTTGCGCGATCGTTTCGAACGTGACGTACTCTCTCGTTTTTTCTCTTTCTATCTTAAAGTGTTAAAATCAACGCACGTAAATATACCTACGCTTTCTATGTGTTGTATCAAGTAATGCTTTTTTATTGCATTTCTCTACGTACAAATACATAAATGAATTTTTACGCGTACAAAACTATTATATAGTTTAAGAATACCAAGTTTATATACGTTAATATAATATACAAAAAAAGTAAAATAATAATATTAAATAATCAAACAAACATCAACAAAAAACAATATAACAGAGAATAATACAATCAGTAAAAAGAATCGTAAAAACCAGTAAAAAATAAAAAAAATATAAATAAAATTGTTGAAAACCATTAGCGTATTGAAGGATTGACAAGAAACTAAAGACTATTGAGTAATACACATGTATACATAAATATTTCAGTCAATGGTATAGTAAATAGTGTATTCAAAATCATTAGTTCGCAGCTATGTACTTCAGACCTACGCGTGATAAATACAATGTCTCCTCAAGCGTTCTCCAATATATAAAACAATAAATAATATCAATAATATATGCCTATACTATTATAAAATATATAAGTATTATTACAATTATTACTTAATACTAAGAACTAGACGGTATTTGGTCGAAACGATGTTACGAAAAGGAAATCGGTTACCAATGTGTTATCAACGAATGGATATTTCAAGCGAATATTATCAACTACCTTTTAATATAAAACACATACAGCTGGGTCAGTACTCGTGTCTTACCTATATAATAAATAAAATGTTGACTGTGACTTATGAGCGTTTCGTAAAAATACACTGAAATTCGTTGTGAACATTGAATTGAAACATCAATTTTTAGTGTTCATACATTCCCACCCTTCACAATGGACGTCGTAATGGTGGTTTGTAAGAAAAAAAAATCATACATTATATGTTTGAATACTGTAGGACAACGGGCATTGTACAAATTTATGCTCACCCTCGTGTTTTTTTCATGTATTGTCATGATTTGTCCGATGATTACGAACGATTGATTTCGCTGAAAGCATAAGAGAAATTTAATAATATAATCCTGTAAAGAATGAAATAAATATAAAAAAAGAGTAACAACAACAAATTCTATCGGAGCTTCGAGGAGAGTCATTCGAATATTACGTACTACATAATATACGTAAGTGTTTTATACCGTTATGTAATACTATATATACGAGTACATGTATACCATATATATATATAACTTTTATGACTATATAAATAATGACTGTACGAGGAGAGCGTTTAGGAATTATTGTTTCGTAAAATATACAGAGTAAGGTAGTGGACATCAATTCGAACGCGGTTGACATAATCAAAGAGTATTAAAACCCTTATCAGAAAAAAAAATCCTTGATATTCAGAAAACCGTATCCAAGAGCTTAGGTTTTGTCGGATGAGACGTCGTCGTATCGTTATAGTATCGCGTGTCCGGTACGGTGGTGTTTTTCTACACAAAAAATGGGACAAATATTATAATTGAATATACAATAATTAATTAATTAATAAAATTAATAATATAATTATAATATAATATATTATAATATAATAATATAATATAATTAATAAATTAATTAATCGTACGCGTACGAGCCATGATGTCCACTTAGGCGCAACTAGACCGATATTTTTGGGGGTTCACGAATTGTGAAAAGCTAACAAGCTTCGATCCTTCTCCCTCCTTCCTTCCCCCCACTTCACACATTTTGTACACTTTATTATAAGACCCTGATGGTGCACATTTTAAGCTTGGGATAATGTACGAGTTCCATAGTGCACCGCCGTAGAATTGCGTGAACCGCGCGTTGACCGATAATCGGGTTAGTAGCAATCGCGCGGATTCAGCGAGCGGAACTGCGTGGAAAGGGATTGGGGGCTGGACGCGCACAGTTTACGGGGATTCCAGGTCGGATATCCGGTGGATCGACCTGTACAGGTTCAGCGGTGGCATGTTCGGGTGTTCGATGCGCGTGGGTGAGGACACGTGCGGTCTGATGGTCTGGTACTCGGGCATAGTGCGACGGATGGTTGTGATCTGCTGGTACTCGTGCTGCTGCTCGTACGGGTAGTAGGCGCCGTTCTCGAAGTTCGGGTTGGCTATGGTCTGCGGGTGGTGGTGCACCGGGCGCCGAGTCGTGGCCGTCGTGTCGATGTTGCCGGTGGGCGACAGCGTGGCCCAAAACGTTTTCGGCGATATGTCGATCGTATCGTACAGCGGCGGGCTCTTCTTCGGCTCCGGGCTAAAGTCTGACTTGCTCCAGCGTTTCTTGCTGTTGGCGAGAAAACAGAGAGACGGTAAAATAATGGACACCGCTGAGATCGTGAGTATGTAGGATTATCGACTCGCGACGGCTGTCGCCTATAAGCAATATTTATGCTTGTCGTAGTTAATACTCACTCTCGCAGACGGACGATGACTACTAGTACGACGGTGCCGATCAACATCACTCCGAGTAAGCACGTGGACAGCAACATCCACCAGGAATACGTCTCGATAATAGGTCCTGAAAGTATATATTATGTACTTACGCTTTAAGTTTTATCCATATACTCATGCGTTTTATTTATTCGTTTAAGAGAAATTGTGTTGCCGCAATACAAATGGTATAGTTGTTTGAACGAAAACAATCTCAATATTCCACCACTACCCGTTACTCAAGATATCTTATTTTATATTTTTCTGTTCGGATAATAATAATATTTTCGTTGTTAAATGTAAATTTTAATACGGTACCCTCGAGCTCGTGATCCCGTATTGTAAAAATATAAATACTATTACATTATGGCCGAGGAAAAAAATAAAAATAAAACCGATTGAATTTCAACAAAACGAACGTCAATATGTTTGCTCACAAAATCGAAAAGCTTTTGATGCCTATCACGGTAACGAGAAAATAAAACCCCTTCGGATCGTGAAAAAATAGTATACGACCGCACAAAAAATTATAATACTACAACCATGGTGTATTTTTGTAGAGAAGTGACGTTTATCAAAATCACTTAACATATTTAATTGATTTAACATTAATAATAAACCGTTTTTATCCTGTCGAGTTTTACCAATCATTAGCATATCACCCGTAAATTATCCATTAGCAATCAAACCTTGTTGAGGTAGTTCGATAAATCCCACCCCTTGATCCGTGTCGCACATGGATTTGCATGGCTTGCCCGGTTCCAACTCGTTGGTTTCCATCAGTAGCTCCTTGTTAGGCGAGTTCGATTCGTTGCTGCCCGACTGGTCATTCAACACGGCCGTCAAGAACGACGGCATCGGAGGTGGCGGCATGTCCAGTATGGAAGGTGGTGGACCTAGATCTCCGCATTCGCGGCCAGTGGCATCCATACAAGCCACTGCCGTGATCAGGCACAGGCCCGACCAAATTAAATTTATCTTCATGGTAAAGATAGCGTTTTCTGAAAATTTAATAATTATTGTTTGGAACCACGATTAATAGTATAAGAGTAATAATTAACGTTAAAAAAATTCATGAAACTTATAAAAAGATTATAAGAAATTTTTTTGTTTAAATTTTGGAATAACATTAAAAGGAAGTACTTAATTTTAGTTTAGAACACATGACCTTAGTTATAATTTGTTTTCATTTGTTTCAAAATGAGAATACAGTTCAATTACAATTAATATGATTTTTAAATATTTTTAATAAAACAAAACAGTTTAACTATTTCAATATTCAAATTTCAATTTTTTCTTGTAATAAACATACTGCAATAATTATACATATTTCCTTCGGGTTGTAGGTTTATCGTTTGTGTCATTACTTTCTTGATAATGCATGGAATAATTTTCAAAAAATCAAAATAAAACATTCAAATAAATTAATAATACTATAGTTTTTTAAAGTTGGACGAGTACTCAACTTTTTTCTCGAGTATTTGAATTTTGAACTCTACTCGACTTTTAAAATTAATTCTAGTCCAACTCTATAGTTTTTCTTCACTATACTCCAAATGAAATTATAAATTCCGTCATGTTAAATAATTACGATAGGCATTTTTGAAGTTGTATTTAATGACAAGCTTTATTTATTATTTCGTTGTCACAGTGTTGTATATCATTTTGAAATTGTGTTTCCTTCAAAACACATTTCTTAAAACAGAAATTACATACAAAAACCTAACCATATGTAGCTAAACAACATGTGAAATGACTATTGAAAAATGAGTTTGCTAGGGTGAAACAATTGATCGGTTCACAAAAGGGGAGATGATTGACGGTTTTCGATTATCACTGTACGGTGACGTCATTTTTCAAAGTACCAATGGATAATAATAGTAAACATTCCACTCCAAATACTATTTCATGTTGACGTGTAGTCAAATAAGTTTTAAGTATTTACTGTTTATTAAACAGAAAAATAATGCCTTATTTTTAAGAAAAAAAAACATACCTATTATTGTTTTTACTGGAATATTTAAATATATAGATACTTAAACAAAATTAATAATTCGTTTTAATGGATGAATATTCTTATAATTTACACAATTTGCTTTCGTCATATTTTACACAATTAGTTTGTCAGTGATTTTATTTCAAACATAATTTTTACACGAACAATTAATTTATTTAAACTATAATATGTACGTTGCATTGAAGATTTTGGTCTGATATTTTTCTTTGGAATCAAGTAAACTGTATAAACTTATACCCGATAATAAACCAACAATTATATTATTGATAAAATAATGGTATTTTATTGTTGTTTAATATAGAATTTTTGATTTTAAAATTAATAATACTAATTATGTAAAAATGTTAAGTATAACATATATATATCAAAAGCATTCTATAATAGATGTTATATTTGTTATCAAGTATTATTATTTGTTAGACAAAAATGAATTTTAGCAATACAAAATATTCAATCAAGCAAGTAACTAAGTATCTATTTAGTTATATGATTTGGTATAAATAAGTATAATATACCTACCATAGATTATCATGAGTAATCATATACAACAAACCTGTGGTAAAAATTGTAACACTGAGAAAACCACGAATAAAAAATGATTTGTTTTGTATAGTTTTTACGTACAACAATTGCTATGATTATAGCACACTCCTTTATTTTGGTAAAAAACTAACTAAATTGATTAAAGTAGAACGGAAAAAGCGCGTGGCGCTCGATAGTTAATATTTCAATATGTAAGAAACACCGAATCGGAGATACGTCAAGCAGGTTTTTTCACGAATTTACGAATTTTTTAATTTACTTTTTATCCCATTGATAAAAAAAAACACGCAAGATAAACAAAGCAATGCAAATCAAACGTCGATGCTAAGCGCTTCGGTACAGACATAGATGTATAGGCACAAAATAGCGAACACACGATAGCTAATATATAATGTATTTGAAATCAAAAAATAACGAGACATGTTCGATCGGAATAATATAATGTGAGCGCACGATATTTCTGCATATATGACTTCATCTTGTCAGTTATCTGACAACATCTACTCGAAACGTATTCGATCGATATGCACCATAACAAGTTTATTATTATTAATACTATTGTTACGAGAACGAGACGTACGATACGGTTTGTTCAAATTGTGCACTTGGTGTTTTTTACGATTACCTATCAAAATACGTAACGATGGTACAGCCGCGGCGTGGACTGTGCGAATGGAATACGACGTGAAGTTGATTTTATATTATGCAAACACGACAAACCTATAACGTAGGTGTTGTACACGGGCAATGTGTAAGCAGCGGTGGTGTGTTTTGGTTACGTAAATCTAAGAACTAATAACGATATCGCGGAAAACGACGAGAGGAAAACTGACGGCTGGCCCGCGGATTAGAATAAAAATAAAATATAAATTAATGTATAAGATATACTCGCGCGGAAGAAACAACGACGACAACGGTGCGACGACAACAAGAAGAAAAAGAAGAAGAAGAAGAAGAAGAAGAACAACAACAACAACAACAATAACAACAAATTTACGATGATGATAATAATAATAATAATAATAATGTGTAGCTTACTTGTATATAGTAAATGTGATGTCCTTGTGACTCGGCGACGGTCTGAGTGGACGAAAAGGCAGCCGCGGGGCAGATGCGCAAAATCGGCTTTCCCGACCCTTTTATCGATCTCCCCGCTCCCTGGCCGCGCGCCGTGGTATCCGGTCACCGTGGTAACCGGGCGAAAATACGAGGGAACTCGTTTCGCGAGCGGCTAGACGGTGGGGGACGGTCGGACGGGCAGTCGGGCGGTGGGCGTCTTTTTTCTTATACCGCTCCGTTGGGAGTTTCAAAAAGACTAAGAAAACTCTCCGCTGCGATCAGCTGTACGCCACCGCCGCCGCTGGACAAACTCAACCCGTTATGAATACATAGACCATACACGCGGTATCAAATCGGTTCCATATAGCTTCCACTACTCGCTCTGGTCGAGTCGGTTCCCGCGAAGACATTTTTCGCAACGTAAAATAATGTGTTTACGGATAATTCGTATACAATGTAAACGAACAGCTTATACAATAAAATGGTAATCGGTATAGTTGTAGTACCTAGTAAATATCGCATATTAAAATGTACGAGTATATTGATAAGTACAGTGGATTCCGCTCAATACCGGTGGTTTATATAGGCGGCCACTTAATATGGATGATCCAATCTGATGTACGTTAACAAGGTTAAAAATAACCACTTTTTGTAAGTGCTCTAGATGCGGTTTATGTTGGTGGTTTTATTTTATTAAAAATTGCTATAAAACTATATATTTTTCGAAAAAGTCTTTCTGTGAGTAAAAAAAAAAAATTAATATTTTTAAAAAAGTTAAAACGTTCCTGCTAGTTTCTTAAGAAAGTTGTATCTGAATAAAATAATATGCAGTCCTAAATCGACGATTGCAAAATTTCCCGAAGAAGATTACGTTTTACGGGAAACCTTTAACTTAAACTGAATATGCGATTAAAAACGTAAAATTGAAGGGAAAGATTCTGGACTTGACTAGTTAATGGTTTTTATTGACAACGAACCGTGTTTATTGCGTTTCTACCAGACGCATGTTGAAAACCAAAGCGGAAGATTTAGCACAGAAAACCGGTAACGACGAGTAATTTATTGCTACTGATAGTTGGTTAAGTGTGCGAAAGAATAGACTCGATATCAAATTTGTACATGTACTTGTATACGTCGAAAAATAGCACGAATTTTTTATGTATTTTATTTTACGGTGTGTATAGATTATATTAAATTAAATGCATCGTTTTTTTTTTTAAATTGAAAACTCCTGTGATTTATTTTTACCAATTTTGGTTTTTATAGGCAATCTCTTATGGTGGGCAAATGAAAGTGATTCTTACTTTAATTGGAATTAACTGTATAAGCTGATTGTTATCTTCTTTTTTTGTTTTGTTAGACCGATAGTTTCAAGAAAATTGTTTTTATTTTACCACGGCAAGTACTAGTCAAAGGATCTGGGTGATAAGCGTTAGGAAAAAGAAAACAAAAGTAAAGGTAGCTGATTCGGTTATACGGCGACGGATTCGTATGCAATGCGTAGACGAGGAGCAAAGCGCGAAGGAATTGATAACATCTGTGACGCGAGACTTCAATACTTGGCACCTTTTGGTACCCGAAGGCGATGTAATCACATTTCGTATTGTGTCGATGATGAAACGATAGCATTCAGAAAAACCTAGAGAACTTTTTTGACTGACGTGACGTGTACGCTGTAAACTGCCGCTCGGTAGTATAGATCACGGGGCAATCATATTGTACGCGCGTGACGGCGTTATTATTGCGTTAGGCAAACACGCAACGGAATGGCCATTGATAACCAAGCACCATCTATATGACAGCTCCATTAGCGGTTTTAACCGCTCGAACAGTGGGCCTAAGCGAACGGTGCTGTGTATTTAAACAGTCGATTCCTCATGACGCAAATCCGTCCAGTCCTGTCCCGTTCAAATCGAAAACATTTTCATGGAAAGTTATTCTATAACCATAAGCGGATATTTGGTATTATCTGTGGGGGCGCTTAACATTTTTATCTTATTCATTAGCGGAAACAAATATTTATAGTCACTTCCGACGCTTCCACCTACTAACTGTAGTGGCTACTCATACTTGATTCTAGCTGAGACACCAAGTATATATATATATATATATATATATAGGTAATAGGAACATAAAAAAATAAAATATTAAATAGCTATTGTTATTTTAATTGTATATATCTATTTTTTTGTGCAAATATATTAACAATTGTTTCAGTATTAATAGATTTAGAAATTTCTTTTTCAATATATAATATTGAGTTGTTGTTGAACCTTTCCTGCAGTATAGAAGTTCGAAGCCAAGTTTTTATTCTGTGCATGGCCGAAAAGCTCCTTTCACAAGAGGAGGAACTTATAGGAATTGTTAAAGCAACTTGAAATAGTTTATATAAATTAGGGAAAGTCTGTTTTGTTAAAACCTTTTTCACATAATTTAAAGTTATATCATTTTCATCAGTAGACTGTAATATGCAATTATTTGCCACTTCTATTTCTGACTGTAATACATGTTTAGATACATTCATCAAATCCTGAAAAATATACAAAATACAGGTTCACTTTTAATAAAACTAGAGCATAGGTAAGTAAAAATTAATTTTTAAAGACCGATACGATACTTATTTTATAATGATCTACAAAGAAAAAACTTTCCTCAAAGTTTAATTGAAAAAAATTGATCAACAGTTGTTGCAATTTAGAGGTTTTCAGTAGAAAATCTTTTTTCCAGATTTATCAAGATAGCATCAAATACAGGAAAGAAAGCATTTTTTCTAAAATAATTTTCAATGGTTTCAATGGTGTCATTAATATTTTGTTCAGCATTTGTGGTTGCAGTAGTATCAAAATGTTTAAGATAGTGTGGCTCTTGTCTTTTTCTTTTGCATCCTAATTAAATAAATATTAACTTAAAATTATTATAATTATAAATAAATATAATATGTTTATTAAGTCTTACCTTTAGATTGTGTTTGTATTGATATTTCATTGTCTTTAGCAAAGATTTCTATTTCACACCAAAGCTTAGAAAAATACTCTGTTGTTCTAGAATTGTTAAGTCGTCTTCAATAATGTTTTTAGATTCTTCTAAGGTAGCATTTTTTTCTTGAAATTTGTTAGAAAAAATATTAATATTAATTAATACTTTATGTAAGATAAATAAATAAACTATAAATCATCCACTTTTTAAATTTGTTAGTATACCTAAAACAAAGATATTGGAATTTAAATACTTTGAATCATTAATTATTACTCATTATATTATACCAATTGCTTCATTTACTCTTCTATCATCTTCATTTTCAATTTCTTCTTCTAAAGCTTGAATAATTGCTTTATAACTGTTTTTAACAGGCTCTATATTTCGATAACGGTAATTCTATCTAGTGTCACTAAGTCTAATCATTATCGTATGTTTTATTCCTAGTTTAGTATGAATCTCAGTTAATTTTTGATTTTTTGATGGATGAGAAAACTGTACGTACAGGGATTCTAAAGTATTGAACACATGCCCTGTTTCCTAATATTAATATAAGTAATAAATAAAATCATGAAAATCTAAGATGTATATAAATATTTATTACCTTTACATATTTACACATATCAATTACAATAAAGTTCATTTTATGAGTCATACAGTGGGTATAAATAGCGTAAGGATATTGATTTTTTATTTTATTTTGTAGTCCGTTAAATTTCTCACACATAAAATTTGTACCGTCATATGACTGAGCAACTATTTGTGGTTTAGGTAGAACTAAGTTTATACTTTTTCAGGTACCATAATATGTAACGATATAAACTTTCAGCATTTTGATTTTTATAACAATCTATAAAACTGAGAAATCTCTCAACAACATCTAGATTTTTAACATATCTTACACATAATGCCATTTGTTCTTGTTTGTAACACCTATAAATTAATTTAATAAAAATAAATGAAGAAGTCCATGTATAAAACATAATTTATATTTCACCTTGCTTAATCACACATAATTCCAAACACCTCAACGTCTTCAATATCTTTCACAATTATTTCTTTCATAACGTCTGCACATATATTTATAAGTTCATCTTGAATTATATGACTTGAGTAATTGGTTTTAAGATTAATTTTTTTTCTTAATTCCTTATTACTTTTTGCTAACAATTTACATAATTCTTTAAAGTTTCTTAAAAATATATTAATAATTAATAATAATAAATAATTACCATAATTAGATATTTTACATTTAAGATCATTTATTAGTAATATTAGTTATTACTTTTTAGTTATTAGTTTAATACTTTGATTTAAAGAATCTTTTGTCTCGTCGTGTCCCCTTAAACCAATTTCTTGACAACTTACAAATAAAACAATATTAACTAACATTTTCTTATATTTTTTATTACTTTCAACCATCAATGAATGCTGAGAAGATATTTGAGAATAAACACTACCAGTTTCTATTGTTTTCTGATATGCTGACCATTTAACCATACATGTAAAATGTAAATTACTTTTAGCATGTGCATCCAATTTATTTCCACCTTTAGATCCACTACAAACACTCAACTATAAATTATAATATAATTATATTAATAATTATAATTAAAAAATTATAAATAAAGCATAAATACAAAGCATAGGCTTTTTTCCAATTTCTAAAACCAACTAAAAAGCTATCTTCAAAATTGCCACTATTTCCAGTACTAAAATGTCTACAAACAAAGCAAAAAATTGAATCTGTTGATATACTATATTCAAGCCATTCATATATTTTGTAATGCTTTTGAAAGCGCGATTTTGTGTACTAAATTTAGTTAGTGGATATGATAACAATATATTTAATTTAAATATAATATAATAACTTAAACTATGTATAGTGTTTACCTACTTATATTTGTACTTACTGTTAAAATTGGTCGCACAGGGCCTGTTATTAAAGTTCCCAAGTAGGAAATTACATTTTTATCAACAATATTATCAACATTTTTTTGTATAGTTATATCAATGTCTAAACCAATATTATTAATAATCATTTTCAGATTCTAGTGTTGTTGTTGACGAGGAATTAGTAACAACTAATTTTTGTTTTTTAATATTAA